TATTGATTATTGATATGTTGCAGATATGTATATTGATTATTGATATGTTGCAGATGCGGTGTATTGATTATTGATATGTTGCAGATACGGTGTATTGATTATTGATATGTTGCAGATATGTAAATTGATTATTGATATGTTGCAGATATGTATTTTGATTATTGATATGTTGCAGATATGTAAACTGATTATTGATATGTTGCAGATATGTATATTGAATATTGATATGTTGCAGATGCGGTGTATTGATTATTGATATGTTGCAGATATGTAAATTGATTATTGATATGTTGCAGATGCGGTGTATTGATTATTGATATGTTGCAGATGCGGTGTATTGATTATTGATATGTTGCAGATGCGGTGTATTGATTATTGATATGTTGCAGATGCGGTGTATTGACTGATATGTCTCACTCATGCAGTGAGTTTTGGTTTGATGATGTCCGCTAACATCTCAGTAAATGTGACGTCACTGGTTTTGTGTTGAAGGTCACGGCAGCCATCTGAAATTGATTAACCTCTAATACTGATCAATTGTAGAAATGTATGTAATGATTACATGACCTCCAAGTGGCTTTAAGAATCTGTAGGACTCCTGCAAAAACCAACGCAGACAAGTTCCTGTTTTTACTTTTCTACATTCACCTTAGAATCTGTTTGTTTGTTTGGCATCTTATTTTAATTTGTAAATAATAACAACAATAATAATCTGCATGCCTCTTTTATGACCGTCTGTTGTTGTCGCTGACGTCATGACTAAGTTGTTAAATCAGGCGTCTCTTGTAAATGAGTCCTGAGGCTCAGTGGGACTGACCTGTACAAATAAAGGTTGAAAGAAGGAAAGTCTTTCTCATGGTTTCATCAAAGTCCGTTCAGTGGTCCACGAGATATTTTGCTAACAGACAGAAAGAAACACACAAACCCTTCCGACTATCAGATGAGAACAATTCATAAAATGTGTCAGATGTTTGTTAAGAGACGAAGTTGGACTCAAACCACACACTGACGCATTATTCACCACTGCACCACTGAGTCCCTCCAGCGAACACAACGCGCGTGACACAAAGTGGAAACAAACTAAACACATGAATGTAACATGAATGTAACATGAATGTAACATGAATGTAACACATGAAGGCAGAACTGACCTTTCGTTGAGAGGACGGACACGAACAGCAACCTTCACGTTGGCCATGCTGGTTCAGCGGTCCATCGGCTCGGAACCAGTCAGAAACCAGTTAAACCAGTTAGAAACTGATTTAAAGTCGAACAAGGGACGGGTCAAACATTAGATCCGCTCGGAAAAAGAGCGGAAACTGTCGCCGCTAAAAGCAGAAACTTCTCACGGAGCTCGAACCTCCACCCGGAGGAGAAGCTTCTTCCCTCCTCCCACTGACACACAGGGACATGACGAAACATGATCCAACATGAATAAACGTGACTAAACATGAATAAACATGACGAAACATGAATAAACATGACTAATCATGATCCAACATGACTAAACGTGACTAAACATGATTCAACATGACTAACCATCATTTAACATGACTAACCATGATCCAACATGAATAAACATGACTAATCATGATCCAACATGACTAATCATGAGTAAACATGACTAAGCATGACTAATCATGATTTAACATGACTAATCATGACTAACCATGATTTAACATGACTAACCATGATTTAACATGACTAACCATCATTTAACATGAATAAACATGACTAAACATGATTAATCATGACTAATCATGATTTAACATGACTAATCATGACTAACCATGATTTAACATGACTAACCATGATTTAACATGACTAACCATCATTTAACATGACTAACCATGATCCAACATGAATAAACATGACTAATCATGATCCAACATGACTAATCATGAGTAAACATGACTAAGCATGACTAATCATGATTAATCATGATCCAACATGACTAATCATGAGTAAACATGACTAAACATGATTAATCATGACTAATCATGATTTAACATGACTAATCATGACTAACCATCATTTAACATGACTAACCATGATCCAACATGAATAAACATGACTAATCATGATCCAACATGACTAATCATGAGTAAACATGACTAAGCATGACTAATCATGATCCAACATGACTAAACGTGACTAAACATGATTCAACATGACTAATCATGACTTACCATGATTTAACATGACTAAACATGATTAATCATGACTAACCATGA